TATCTCTCTCCTGCTCCCTTCTTCTCTGAAATCAATAAAAATGTATTTTAAAAAATAAAACAAAAGAGCTCAATTGATATGTTTGGTGGGTGTATACACAGGATTCATAGATATAATGATCTAACATCTATGGAAACTTCCTATTTGAGAGGATATATATATATTTTTTTTTCCTTTTTGAGAGGATATATAATATATATACTAACATTCTCCTTTCTTTTTTTCCATTTTTTAAACACTTTTTAAATTAAATTTATTGGGGTGACATCTATAATAATCCTATCTAATAAAAGAGAATCATGGTAATTAGCATACAACTGCTACCCTTCCCACTGGCTAATGACCGAGATATGCAAATTAACTGCCAGTCAAGAAGTCGGCCAGCAACCCGGAAGCTTGAAGCTAACATGAGGCTTGCTTGCTTCAGTGACGGAGGAAACCAACGTTCCCCGCCTGCCTTGCCGGCCTCTGAGCTTGCAGTTTGAAACATAGTTACAAATATAGAAGCTAAACAAAACCCCAGAAACCTGCTTTCAGCCCGCCGGATCTCAGAGCTGGAGTTGATACAGTGTTTTGACTATAGAACCCAAACAAACCAGATGCCTGCTTTCAGCAGCAGAGGCCTCAGAGCTGGAGCCAGAGCTAAAGCTGGCCCAGAATAAAAAAAATAAAAAGAAAAAAAGGAGCAGTTGGGAGCTTCAGTCACCCGCCAGCCTGAAAACAGCCCTCAGTCCCTCACCCAGACTGGCCAGGCACCCCAGTGGGGACCCCCACCCTGATCCAGGACACCCTTCAGGGCAAACCAGCCGGCCCCCACCTGTGCACCAGGCCTCTATCCTATATAGTAAAAGGGTAATATGCCTCCCAGCACCGGGATCAGCGGAGCTGAGAGGCCTCCCTACACCGGGATCAGTGTGACAGGGGGCAGCGCCCAAACCCCCTGATTGCCCTGCAGCTCTGTGTGTGACAGGGGTCGGGGCCACAACCTCCCTATCCGCCCTGCTCTGTTCATGACAGGGGAAGGCACCCCAACCCTGATCGCCCTGCGGCTCTGTGTGACAGGGTGCGGCGCCCCAAACCCCCCACCTCCCCAATGGGCCCTCCTCTGTGTGTGACGGGGTAGAACCATAACCTCCCCATCGGCCCTGCCCTGAGTGTGACAGTGGCGGCGCCCCAATCCCCTGATCGGCCCTGCTCTGTGGGTGATAGAGGGTGGTGACCCAACCCCCTGATCCGCCCTGCTCTGTGCCTGACAGGGGGGAGCTCCCCAACCCCTTGATGGGCCCTGCTCTGTGCGTGACAGGGGGAAGTGCCCCAACCCCCTGATTGGCCCTGCTCTGTGCATGACAGGGGGTGGCGCCACAACCTCCCCATCGACCCTGCCTTGAGTGTGACAGAGGGCGGTGCCCCAACCCCCCAATCGGCCTTACCTTGAGCATGACTGAGGGTGGCATCGCAACCTCCCGATCCACCCTGCTCTGTGCATGACAGGGGGTGGCGTCCCACTCCCCAATCAGCCCTGCTCTGAGCCCAACCAGGGGCTGAGCCTAGGGGTTGGGCCTGCCCTCTACCAGCAGGTCGTTATCTCCCGTGGGGTCCCAGACTGCGAGAGGGCACAGGCCGGGCTGAGGGACCCCCCCCGAGTGCACAGATTTTTGTGCACCGGGCCTCTAGTAAAAGTATAATATGCTAATTAGACCAGACGACCTTCCAGACGAAGCCGGGGCTGCGAGGGAAGCCTGGGTCCCGGGTGCCTGCTGGCGCCCAGAAAGAAACCCAGGTCTCGGATGCCAGAGGCAAGCCAGTGCCAGCACCCGGGGGAAGGAAGGCCTACTCTTGCATGAATTTCATGCAACTGGCCTCTAGTTGGTTAATAAGATTACGCAGGTTTCAAATGTACATTTCTATGATACATGACCTGTATATTGCATTGTGTGCTGACCACCCAAAGTCAAATCTTCTATCACCATATGTCTGACCCCCTTTGCCCTTTACCCTCCCTGCTGGTCTAGAATTCGGTGCTTTCACCCACATTTTTCTTTCATTGTGCATTATGTCTTACATTGAATTTATGTAGATGAACTCCCTCCTGTTTATTTCTTTATAACGATGCCATTATTCTCACTGCTATTGTCTCCTAATATCTAGCATCAAGAAAGCACTAGTCTCGCCCAGCCAGTGTGGCTCAGTGGCTGAGGGTCGACCCATGAAACAAGATGTCATGGGTGTAATTCCCAGTCAAAGCACATGCCTGGGTTGCTGGCTCGATCCCCGGGGGGGAGGGGGAGGGGGGGGCATTCAGGAGGCAGCCAATCAATCTTGCTCTCTCGTTGATGTTTCTATCTCTCCATCCCTCTCCCTTCCTCGCTCTCTAAAAATCAACAAAAACATATTTTAAAAAAGCACTAATCTCTACTTTAAGACAAATACCCGCTTCCTAGTAAGGAGAACTTTTAGCAATGAAGTAGCTCAACATATATCACATGTCCTGGTCTTAATCCATCAAGCATTACACATACCTTTGGCACACCTCTATTGATTTTGGGTACAGTTCTATAAAAGTCAAGTAAAATAATATTTTACTACCATTTTAGCCATTCCAACCTGAGTTCCTGGTCATAAAGCAATGTTTCTACTACATAAAGTTGAAGTGGCCTTTCCTTAAATCATATCATTTAGTTTTGTGTTTAAGTAGCTGTAGGTTCTTGACCAAGCCTTACATGTTAATAAAGTAACATGTATTGTGACTGGTTCCTTTAATACATTTAAGAATACAACAGCGAGTGAATAAAGTAATTTTACATATCTGTTTTTAAAAAGTAAAATAACTTTTGAAAGTAAACCTACTATTCAGGGTACTTGACAAAATCACTTAACATCTGTGGTATAAAAATGTATTCAGATTGCTTGTATATCAAGCTGTTAATGCATGGCTTAAGAGTGAAAATTATAATTATTCAGAAACATGCCTTTAATTTATAAGAATTATATTTATGATTAATTTGCATTTATTGTCTTAAAATTTTTTAATGATAACTTTTTTCTTGCCTTTAAACATTATTCTCAATATTTACATTCTAATGATGCACATGGTTTTTCTTGGTACGATTAAACTAAAGTATCTTTAGATTATAAAAACTGTTTTGGAATTAAAATTCTAAATCCTATCATATGTGGGATGCAATACTGAATGAGGTTATTGCATTGCATATTAAAGTCTATCTCCTTTTTTTTCTTTTCTGAATAACAAACTTGCATTCTAGAGCACTCAACTGAACACTCAAAGCAGATCTACAGATTTAAATAGTCACATCAAAAATTGATCACCATTGATAATGTCTTGGACTAGGTTATAAGCACACAGGTATATTCAATTTTTGATAATTCACTGAGCTGTATAATTATGTCTTGATTATTTTCCTATACTTCATTTACCTGATTAAAAAGGTGGGGTTTTTTTTTTAAAATCAAACACTGTAATATCCTATATAAGTTGTCTTCTAAGCTTTCCTACATCAATCAAACATAACTTTACTCCATTGTCTACATAGTCCAGGCACATAATGAAAATGAAGTGAGCCGGACATCTGATAGGAGAGTGCTGTAGCCTGCGATGAGCTAGGAAAGATGGGCCCAGTCTGCAGGGTACAGACGCTACTCAGCTCCAAGGAATGGCTGCCATATGGGACTGTGGGTCTAGTGTTGCCAAGTCTGGAATTTCAATTTTTTTATGTCAAATTTATACTTTTTAATGCTGGCAACTGATTCACTTTTATAAATACCATCAGCCAAACTAAATATGTCTTTGACCAAATAAGCCGCCATAATGATCACCTACCTCCCTGAAAGGACCTCACTAAATCTGAGTCCAATTAAAGTACTTTTCATTTGTACTGCTGATGCTGTGACCGTGTAGGAAAGCCAACAATCAACTTTCAGTCTGTATACTGAATATACTGCCTGTAAATATGTGCATAGGCCTCATGACACAGATGTTATCCCCATTTTACTGGTGAGTGATTTAGGGTCCAAAAGTAGCAAACAGATAACAAAGAAATTCACAATAGTATGGCCTGCGTTAGATGACTTGAGTTCAAATCCTTCCTCCAACACTTACTGTTTTTATAACTTTGAAAAGGTAAATTAACTTCCCTAGAGCACATAGAAATGTGCCTGGCACATAGTCAGTGCTATATAAGTGTTACTATTAATAATTATTTATTGCTATTATTAATATTATCTGTAAAATGAGATGCTTTCTTTTTATTCGTTTTAAATGAACTAATTGATGTCAAATGCTTAGATTCTGCCTGAGACATAGTTAATGTTGTTACATGTTAATTATGTATCCAGTTTAATTCTCTTTCAAATACATTATCCTTAAACCATGAAGATTAATTCCTTTACTCTATGTCGGGCAATAATAAACATGGGTACCATTATAGACTAAAAGTATTTAAACTTGTTCAAAGTGTTTTACTTAGATTTTTAAATAATACACAGCTTTGTAGTGCCATGATTATTGCAATGTTTATTTCATTTGAAAATGTGTAGTGAAATCAATCATATGCCATGTAATTACTGTCCTGATGAGCATTTTAATAATGTAATAAAATGTTATTCAATCTATCAGGAATGGTTACAATATTCAGAAGACACTTTCTAAATTAGAAGTTCTTCTCCACTTCTTCTTGTTTCCCTGATTTTTTAAAAGCTTGAGCCCAAAGAAAAAAATATATATGCTCCCTCGCCAGGTGGCTCAATTTCCCATCAGAGCACATACCCAGGTTGTGGGTTAAATACCCAGTTGGTGCATACAGGAAGCAACCGATTGGTGTATCACTCTCACATCAATGTTTCTCTCTCTACCTTCCTCTCTCCCTAAAATCAATAAAAATGTATCCTCAGGTGAGCATTAAAAAAACAAAGAAAAATGTATGCAAGTAACTCAATAACTCAAATTGTAAAGATCTGCTACCATAGCCAGAATTTTTACTTACTTGTGACCCATTTCATGAGCAATTGTAAATGCAAGATTTAGACCATTGTCTTCAGCAATAATACATTTCCTCTTTTCACTACACATTCCACTCAAATAAGCTATACCTAGAAAACACAAACATTAATGATATTTCAGAATTAAAATGCAAATACTTATGCTAGGTACTAATAGAAGAAACAAAAAGTGAAGAAACAAAAAAAGTCAACATTAAAATATAATATCTAGCCTTTATAAGTGGAATTTTAGGAGGAAATGCATATGTATAAGTCACTCATAAACTGATGATTTAATCAATTATCCAATTCTCAAAAGGCATACTATAAAAATACATTTATAATGACCACTTTTCATTGTAATTTAAGATAAATGAAACTCAGAAACTTAGAAATGTAAACAAAAAAACAACGGTTATGTTAAATATTTTTCAATTCTTGTGAAGAACCTAGTCTCAAAGAAATATCCTAAAATAAAATAAACTACATATAGGATATTCTTGTACTTACATTTATATTTTGAGTTAATACATTTTGAAATTTAATATTGTGGAATACCATTTTAATTAATATGACAGAAACTATCTGTGGCCCTAGCCGGTTTGGCTCAGTGGATAGAGCGTCAGCCTGGGGACTGAAGGGTCCTGGGTTCCATTCAGGTCAAGGGCACATGCCCGAGTTGCAGGCTCGATCACCAGCAGGGGGCGTGCAGGAGGCAGCCGGTCAATGATTCTATCTCATCATTGATGTCTCTCTCTCTCTCTCTCTCTCTCTCTCTCTCTCTCTCTCTCTCATTCTCTCTCTCTCTCTCCCTTCCTCGCTGAAATCAATAAAAATGTATATTTTTAAAAAACTGTCTGTGATATTTGGAAAATTTATAATGTTTCCTCAAAAATTTCTTGGCTAATAAGATGACCCAACTGAAGAGTGTATAATACTGAAATATTATTTAAGATAAAACCTCTGGCAAGATATTTGATCTTCTGGTTTAAATTATCAGTACAGATGATAATATCTGAAATCATAACTCTTTTTCAAAGATGTATGTGCTATTTTACCAACACAGATATATCCCTGAATAAATATCATTTAACACAAGGAAATGAAATATTCTAAATGTAAATTTTACTGCATTTTCACAAAATTATTTAACAAAAATTATTAAAATAATATCTAGCTTTATTGAATTCACTGTATATTCTCTAATTCTCATATCCTTATAAAACGCATTTAATCTTATTATAAATTATAAAGGCCTGAACAGGCAAAATGATTTCCCAAATATCACATGACTACTAAATATGACAGAATGAGTGTTTGAACCCAGCTTTGATTTGATCTGTCAGCCAACATGTATTTTGCGTCTGATAACAATCTAGAGCAGAGTTGCCTCTAGTTAAAGATGGTTAGCTGGCTGCTTGTGAGTTTTCTCCTCCTTGCAGAAACTTAAAATATAATGGTAAGAAATAATTAAATTTAAATAAAAGAATAAATCAACTTGCCCATTTTTGGGAAAAAAAAAAACTCATGGACGAATATGAATAGATTTAGTGAAGCCACAGCCAAATGGCAGGAGAGAAGGAGTTTATGAGGGAGGTAGAACTCCACAGAGGCTCAAGATCTGAGGCACACAGGTTTGAGGAGAGGCATTACTGGAGGGTTGAAAATGGAGATTAAATAAAAATATATTTAAAATCTTCTACTACTCATTCAAAACCTTCATACAGAATGTGAAGGCCTGGTATTCACTAGCCCAGCCGTGGGCAAACTACGGCCCGTGGGCCGGATCCAGCCCCTTTGAAATGAATAAAACTAAAAAAAAAAAAAAAGACCGTACCCTTTTATGTAATGATGTTTACTTTGAATTTATATTAGTTCACACAAACACTCTATCCATGCTTTTGTTCCGGCCCTCCGGTCCAGTTTAAGAACCCATTGTGGCCCTCGAGTCAAAAAGTTTGCCCACCCCTACACTAGCCTATCAGGAAAATGAGATATATTCTTTAAATGAGATATAGTATAAACATATTATTTTAAAAATATAACTACAGAAACAACTGAGATTAAATATACATATAGATGTGTTTTTTCTCTAAATATTTGTAAGTAAAAATAGATTTTATAGAAATTTTAAATCTACAAATAGATTAAATTACTTCCTTATGAATGTATAGGTGGATGGATGGATAATGGATAAATGGACAGATGATAAGCCCTACTAGTTCATTTTGCTTATTTAAGGCAATTGAAAGTACTCCAAAGTTAAATCAAGATAAAGTAAGAAGGAAAGATGGAGGTAGTGATAAATGGGGAGGGGTTGGGGAAGTGAGAAGAGAAGGAAGAAAAAACATATTCTTTATTTAGTTCCATTAAACAACAAATGAAATAAAAGCCTTTAATAATTCTTAAACATAATGTGAATTTTAAGAGAGCTAAGTCATGTACTTATTGATACAACAAAAAGTGGAAAATGAAGATTTAAGAACTAATTGAACTTGTGTCATAAGTGAAGAAAAGAAGACAGAAAGGAGGGAGGGAGAGAAGGAAGGTAAAAAGAAAGTATCTCCTTATCAATAGAATATTAAAATTCCTATGAGCTTTAAAAAAATTTTTAAAGATGTAGTTTGAGCTTAAAATTCCTACAGACGTACTAAATTAAGCTAAACTGTAATTAGCATGCCAATAACTACAATTTGGTACAAAATTTCCCTTAGGATGCTTATCTATTTCACCACTTTTTTCACCACAACTAAATATCATCACCATCTACACTAATAAAAGAGAAAAATGGTAATTGGCGTACGGCGCTACCCTTTTCATTGGCTAATCAGGGCTATATGCAAATTAACTGCCAACTGAGATGGCAGTTAACTGCCAACAAAGATGGCGGTTAATTTGCATATGTAGGGACAATGCAGGGAGGCGAAAGGGAAAGCAGGAAGAAGCCCCCTGCCACTTACAGTGATCGGAAATCCAGGGGGGAGCTAAGAGGTGGGGGGCAGGGCAAAGGCAGCCCTGGGGCCTTTGCCCTGCCCCCCAGCCATGATCTGAGAATCAGGCGCCTTTGCCACCCTGGCCAGTGATAGCAGGAAGTAGGGTTGGAGCCAGCAATGGGAGCTGGGCACAGTCGAAGCTGGCAGTCCGGGGAGCTAGGGGTCCCTTGCCTGGGCCTAAAGCGAAGCCCACAATCGCGCGGCCGCTGCAGCTGTGGGTCCCCGCTGCCCGAGCCGGACGCCTCAGCCAGAGGCGTCCTGCAGGGGCAAGGGCAAAGCCCGCTCGATCGCGGCACCCCCCGCTGCCACTGAGGGTCCCTGCTGCCCGGGCCGGATGCCTAGGCCAGAGGTGTTAGGCCTGGGCAGGGGCAGAGTGGGAGATCGCGGCGCTGCTGCCGCTGCGGGTCCCCGCTGCCCAGGCCGACGCCTCGGCCAGAGGTGTTAGGCCTGGGCAGGGGCAGAGTGGGAGATCGCGGGGAGCTGGGAGTCCCCTGCCCAGGCCTAACGCCTTGGCCAGAGGCGTTAGGCCTGGGCAGGGGCAGAGCCTGCAACCGCGGGGAGCTGGGGGTCCCCTGCCCAGGCCTAACGCCTCAGCCAGAGGTGTTAGGCCTGGGCAGGGGCAGAGCGGGAGATCGCGGGGAGCTGGGAGTCCCCTGCCCAGGCCTAATGCCTCGGCCAGAGGCGTTAGGCCTGGGCAGGGGCGGAGCCTGCAACCGCGGGGAGCTGGGGATCCCCTGCCCAGGCCTGACACCTCTGCCGGAGGCCTCAGGCCTGGTCAAGGGGCCGATCCGGTGATTGGTGATCGGAGGGTGATGAGGGTCAACTCTTCTGGCTGAGGCATCAGGCCTGGGTGGGGGGCGGAGCCGGGGATTGGGGGGATATGATGGTCCCCTTGCCCAGGCCTGAAGCCTGGGTCAGAGGCGTCAGGCTTGGGCGGGGGGTGGAGCAAGCGATCAGAGGGAGATGGGGGTCCCCTGCCCAGACATGATTCCTGGGCCAGAGGCCTCAGGCCTGGGCGGGGATCAGAGCCAGTGATCGGGGGGAGATGGGGGTCCCCTGTCCAAGCCTGACACCTCTGGCGGAGGCGTCAGGCCTGGGCAAGGGGCCGATCAGGCAATCAGAGGGTGATGGGGGTCTACGCCTCTGGCCGAGGCATCAGGCCTGGGCAAGGGGCAGAGCCAGCAATCGGAGGGGTCTGGGGGTCCCCTGCCCAGGCCTGATGCCTGGGCCAGAGGCATCAGGCCTGGGCTGGGGGCAGAACCAGTGATGGGGGGAAATGAGGGTCCCCTGCCCAGGCCTGACACCTCTGTCAGAGGCGTCAGGCCTGGGCAAGGGGTCGATCCTGCGATTGGAGGGTGATGCGATTGCAGGGTCAATGCCTGAGGGCTCCCAGTATGTGAGAGGGGGCAGGCTGGGCTGAGGGACACTCCCCCCTACACACACCCAGTGCACGAATTTCGTGCACCGGGCCCCTAGTATCCTGTATAATAAAAGCTTAATATGCTAAGTGTCCAACCATTCTACTGTTCAACCGGTCGCTATGACACGCACTGACCACCAGGGGACAGATGCTTCAACCGGTAGGTTAGCTTGCTGCTGGGATCCGGCTGATCGGGACTGGGCAAGATGGGCCAGACACGCCCTGGAGCCCTCCTATGGTCCCTCCCCGGCCTCAATAGTGCACCAGTGGGGTCCCTCAGCCTGGCCTGCACCCTCTCGCAATCAGGACCCCTCGAGGGATGTCGGAGGGCCAGTTTCGGCCCAATCCCCACAGGCCAAGCTGAGGGACCCCACTAGTGCACGAATCTGTGCACCAGGCCTCTAGTGCAGTATAAAGTACACACACACACACACACACAATATTTTTCTGTAATTTTACTACATTGGCTAGGATTTCCAACATACTGGTAAAATATATCTATGATATTGAGCTCCTTGTTTTTCCTGCTGACTTAAATACAAATGTTTACAGTTTCACAATAGAGTATGATTGCTGTAGGACTTTCTTAGATATAGCTTGTTAAGAAAATTACTTTATGATATTCTTGTATGTCTCAGTGAAAAACAGGGGACATTGTCTGATGCATGGGTCAAAAGTGGATGGGAGTTGAATAGTAT